AGTACCCAAAAGTTGCGCGTGAAATCAATCGTGTTGGTCGTGAATGCACACAACGGGCCGCAGGACTACATGGCCGATACGGACTCAGACGTGGATTACGGTAACCTGGCCGCGCAAGTAGGCACCTGCCGGGGCCGGGAAAGTTGCCACCAGGGTAGCAACCCCACCACGGAGCTTCCTCCCGCCCCCTGCTGCGGTATAGTACGAGCTACTGATCGTATCTCAAACATGAGTAATGAGTATGAGTAACTGTACCGGATTACGGTGTCCGAGTATTTGCGTTCAAGACACAAATTTTTTAACTTCAATCGCAACTTTCGAAGGCACTGTGCGCACCCTGACATCCTGAACTCATAACTTACTTGTCTTGTGTACGAATGAGGGGACCCTCTTACGGCAGCAGAAGTTTTGGAGCCAAAGTCGTGATTGGCGAATTTTCGCTGTATTACTTCTATGGAGAGGCGGAAGTAGTGTAGTGACAAGTGACCCTCTGGTTCGAATCCCGGGTCGACTCCCGCCCAGGCCAACCAAGCCTTCTACCCTCCGGGGACGGTAAATTGGTACCAGATTCGTCTGGGAGGATAAAACACTGACTTGTACATCGGCTGGCCACCGCAAGTCATTGTAGGCCACATCGCATTCAATAAGCCACTACGATTCTGAATGGAAGTAGAATGCGTGCCGCATCCCACAAAGGGATTGATCAACGGCGAAGACTTTATCCTTTATCCTTTTACTTTTATGGCAAACATGTGCCAGGCTGAAGGAGAGTGACTTTCTTCGTGTGAAGATGATATGGTTACGACCGGATTGTAGTTGAACAGATTAGAGACAATAATTTATTAGATCAATAGACAGGGACCCAGTGTTGGGCCACTGGAGACTAGAATATGTGTCGAGTAGAAAAGAGAGAGAAATCTCTATACATCGTGACCCCGTTATTTGTACTCGAAATCCCCGGGGCTGCACACTTAATTTTAAAGTGCCGGCGGCTTAGGTTTTCGTGAGGTATTTTCATTTTGGAACAGTCGTAATCATGTCTACATTTAGCACAGAACAAGTGGCAGTTGTTTGAAATTGAAATATCCCACGAGTAACCCGTCCTATGCCATGCTCAAAAGCCACGCCTACTCCGTCTCAGGGATAAGGAGTATATCTGTTGTCGCGAGAGGGGGCGGGGCGACCCTATGATACCTCGGGGGTCAGCCGTTTCCCCCGGCAATATCCTCAGGCACCACAATATCCACTGGTCATTCGCCCCAGAGGAGGTCTCCTCTAGTCTCCAATATCCCAGCGCTGGGTCACAAGCAAGCAACACAATATAATCTACATATTCTGTTTATATGGCTATGCCACTGGTGGAAATCTTTATTATACGGCCTAACGTTTCGACTTACGTTTCGACGTGGTCGTCTTCTTCAGAGGCCTAAACGCGTTTCGAGGTTAGGAAATGAACACTACCTTACTAAGCGCCCAACCAACCCTAGCAGTTCCGATGGCGTGTTCGGAACTCAACCCGAAAGCCCACACAACACGAAGAGTGCACTCACCAAGCTTCCACCATATATCCGCAGTCACATGCGGCTAGTAGTTAGTAGAGAATGAGACTTAACATTAAGTCTAAGACTAGGTAAGTCTCATTCTCTACTAACTACTAGCCGCATGTGACTGCGGATATATGGAAGCTTGGTGAGTGCACTCTTCGTGTTGTGTGGGCTTTCGGGTTGAGTTCCGAACACGCCATCGGAACTGCTAGGGTTGGTTGGGCGCTTAGTAAGGTAGTGTTCATTTCCTAACCTCGAAACGCGTTTAGGCCTCTGAAGAAGACGACCAAGTCGAAACGTTAGGCCGTAAATAAAGATTTCCACCTAAAAACCTCGAGTGGCATAGCAATATAAACAGAATAAACAACGATGGCGTTCAAGAAGAGAGAACTTGGAGAATAATCTACACAATTTCTATGGGTCCATGGATCCCCACAGGAGGAAATTCTCCAGTTCTTAGAACCGTTTAACTTTGCATGCAGCATTATGGCTGAACAGGTCGCGCTCATAAAAAGCTTAAAAAACACTGCTAGAAAATTTCCGAATTACTTTTGCCATTTTCAACGACGAGCGAATCTATGCTGTAATAGAGCTGAAGTAAAACATTCGAATTTGTAAGAAAAAAATCTTTTATTTCCAGAACCATATAGGTTTCTGCTCTACTGTACAGTTAAACAAAGTTGTGTCAATGGAAGGTGAAAAACTCGCATCCAGAAAAAATTTCCCGCATTATTTCTGTAGTGAACCCGCCATGCAAGCTCAATAACTTCAATGTATACACGTGAAGCCTCTTTTCGAAACTTACGATTCTTACTTACCGCTTGGCAAGGGATTGCTTGCGGATGATGCTCCGCACCTTTTGAGTAGAACTGAAGCTCAGTGGAAATCTAGTGGGCCATGCAGCGCCCCCCCCCCCTTCACAGAACGCGACGCAGCCGCAGATATTGGGCAGATACACCAACAGATTGTAAGAGGAGTCGTAGCGGACAGTATAGTGGCAAGTGGCGCCGCTCATCATGTGTGGTCTGGGTTCAATTAGAAACAAATGAACAAATATTGGGGAAAGGAATACACTCAACATCACAGATGATCCGTTTCGCCCGTTATCGTAGACGAATCATCGATGTCTTACCAACCCCCGGGCTCCTCAGTACGATAGAGTTGAGACATGGACATGGACTACATAGGGGAAGGAGTTAAGAAAAAGGACAAAGCGAGAAAAAATGTAAAAAAGTTGACATGCAAAATCCATGCAATAAAGATGAGAAGGAATTGTACAAGGAAAATGAAAGAAGGATATAACCGGTGTGAGTACAAGATTGTGTAAGAGGAAGAAAAATGGATCGTTGTAGATGGGCTAAACAAACTAAGGGAATAATGAGTAAAAGACACTGCCGCAGCGGATTACAAAAAGTTAAATCAAGAATTTAGTGGTAGAAGGAGAGCTAGTGTTGAACACCGCTGCCAATGAGAATACCTCTAACCAGTCTACTTATCTTTCTATAGTTATTTGCAATAGAGTATTTGTAACTTATAAATTTATTTTTGTAAATACATTTCACAATGCTAGTAATAATAAAATCTTCTTCGTAGCCATTTTTCGAAAGAGTCGTGACCATATCCGTTATTTTGCTTACCTTCCAAGACCCCGGATCATATTCCGCCCGTGCAACCCAGCTTTCCATGCCTGCGGGGAAGGCCAATTAGTATTAGACGTCTAAAAAGTTAAGAGCGTTGGCTTCCACAGTGAAACCCTTTAATCTTCGGGCTTTTTTGATGACGCAGTACGGAGAAAAATTTCCTAACAGGCAAGTTTCAGTTTGGAAAGCCAAGATATGTTTTGTACTACAATACGTTGTAAAAAGATTTGTTCGGCCGATTCCGTCGCGGTATGGGGGAGGATATTGTCGGGTAGCGGCACAGCCGAATGTCGGTCCGGGACGATGCAGCGTTTAGTGTTATGAGGCGCGACCAGACGAGTGGCACAGGCAACTTGGCGCCGCTTACCACAAGCGTGAAATGAGGTTCAAATCCCGGATCGTCTTCCGACGGGCCAACTGAGCTTTCCGTGCCTGCGGGGAAGGCTAATTAGTGTTAAGCTTGTCTAGAAAGATAAATCCTCAACTTTACATTGACAGAACTCTCATTTCCATCGCAATGCATTGTACAGGAAAATTCAGTCAGAAGCCATTACGATTCTGAAAGGAGGTGAACTGCATGCAGCATCCTGAAAAGTAGTTGGGAACAAAAGTTTACATCTTCGTGCTTTTTGCTGCATATTGCCCCTCACCGTTTCAAAAATCCTAGTGCTGAAGTCTTCTTCGGCATACGCGATGACATGGCTAGCAGTCTCACGGAAACCGGTCAGTAATATCTGTGATGTAGTGGTCCGTTACTTGATTGTCCTGACTCACTTATAGAGTCTTCACTGTGCGTTTTGGATGCAAGCGTGTCGGTCCACGACCTGGATGGGCGTTGCCCGAGATTACGGTATCGCAAGAAGCTGGTGCAAGGCAACTGGAAGACGAGACGGCAGGACAGTGGTTGTGAGTACTCACGATGTGTCGGTCCAACCCTAATCGTCTTCCACTCCCGCCCATGTTCCCTTCCCCTTTTCTCTCTGATGTTAATATAATAAATATGTATAGCCTAACTCTTTAGTATTCAAAACCGCTACACACCTTCAGATACAGGAGTCATGAACCTGCAATCTGATACGGAGGTCCCGGCGAGATGAATTTCTTGAGCATTACATTTGAAATAACTTTATCTAACAGCAGTTTTCTTTTCATAAAAGCTACATCTCTTTTGAATAAGTTTCTCCCCCACCCCACCCAAACCCGCTCCCCCATCGTCTTGATAAGTGCACATGTCAGAAGAAGACTCGGGAAGGAATTTCACACTGGACGACCTAGTGTGTACAGGTAAGCTTTACAATATTTTTTGTTTTGAATACGCATATTTCATAGCAAAAATACGATTTCAAAAAAAAATTAGAAAATAGAGGCAGGAGGAGGACGCTTTTTCTTTTGAGATGGGTCGAGTTTTTAAGTTGTGCTTGGGAATGCACACTGTGCATTAAAGACAATTATCGCGATCAAGTATTGCGGGCAATTGTACTCTGTCATGCACCAGTATTCCATAGTTAGCTTCTCAGTAGAAAAAGAAGCAGAAAAATCTTCGGGAACACCTTGAACCCAAACCTACCTTTAGCAGTGGGGGCGGGGCCTGGACGAGTGTGCCGGGCGTGGCTGCCAGAATTCGATGCGGCAGCCGCAATTGCGTCCCAACTTTCGAAATAGGATACTTTCGAACGTAATACTCATCCCTCGCCGCCTTTTCTTCATTCCTTCTTCTCTGCCTTCTTGTTCCTTTCCTCTTTCTTTTTCTATGTATGCTTTTTCAGGAATTTGCGCTTCCAGCCACCGGTCGGCGAGCGCCTTCGAAATTGGATTGATGCCGGGCAAGCGAAAGTATATTGAGGTATGGTCTTTACCCTTCGAATAATGGTAGCAGTCTTTGACAAAAGCTAGCTCTCCGATACTTTTCGCTTTATTCGCTATTTTCTAAAGTTGGAGTGTTTTCGTGCAGGCCAGTAAACAGGTTATTCCTATTTTCAGTCTCTGCCATTACTTGCTTATTTTTCTTCTTCTTATTATTAGCCTTAGACCACTATCCCCCTTAGACCACCCCCTTTTATCCTTTTTATGTTGAAGTGTAAGTCGCTTTTCAAGTTACAAATAAGGTAGATTATTCAACACTGTTACCTGTTCGGCGTTTACTGGCTACTCCTGAACATTCTGAAATCAGCTATTGCATATACGAAGGAATTACATTTTAGAGAGTTGTCTCTTGTAGGAATACGCTGTTCGTATGTGATTTCTTCACCATCTCGTCTTCCATTTTTGCGACGATTGCTCAAGTTGTGGATTGTACACCGGTAAGCCATGAAACCTTTCGTTCTAGCTCCACTACATTATAGTACGATTTGCTGATGTTTCCAAATTATGAACCCTTCTTCTCTGAAATTCTTCAAAGGATAATTATGGCGAATATTTCAGAGATCGACGCGACTACGACCCCAACAGGACCAAGATGTCTTCGTCAACTTCATTCAGCCTCGAATTTGTGAGCACATTAGCTTGTATTTGTCGTTACTTCAGACGTTTTTCGTCGAGATTGTTCCGTTTGTTGTTATGATGTTGAAGCGATGATACACTTTATTTCACATTGCTTTTTCAATGTCTTTCCAATAAAAGCGGCCTTCACTCTGGCCATGTAACAGCTGCCTGAAACCGGATTCATTCAGTTTGGTCGACCCTCTTTCGCCCTGCAGTATAGTTGTCTCAGGTGAACTGAATAGCAACTGCATACTTGTAGCCTGTACTTCTCTGATGTTGATTTTCATCCCGCGATCGAGAACGGAGAGACGGGGCTTACAGAGGCTTTTCCAAGTGGGCGGAGAAAGGCTGAAAGTGTAGGACGCTTCAACATTACAGTTTCAACTACTGTAAGAGCTGGTGTAGGCTTTATAGGGTAAAAAAAGGTGTGTCAACATTTGATGAGCGCCTTACAGAATCACAGCTCCTGCTCGTAGTAGTCTTCCGCGTTCAGGAGATCCTCGACCCACTGACTGTCACCTCTCTCTTGCAAGGCTATAAGCCGTCCCCTGAGGACGTTCGTCCAACTCTAAGTCCCTCCATACTTGTTTTGGTGAAGATTTCAGGACCAGCTTTGATGACCTATCGAGGTACTTTCGCTTGATCAAACAAACCTTCACCACTTTTCTTGTCCCGTTCATTTCCGCGCGCCGCAACGCATTAATGTGCATTGTGGCCATCATGGTGTACAACGGGTACGTCTCAATTGGATAGAATATCTCTTTGGGACAGTAGATTCTATCCAACGCGTGTTTAGCCTCACACCTGGAAGTGCCTCCGTGCGGGCTGACCTTTTCTAGATCTTTCTGGAAGGACTTAGTGAGAACGACCTCTCGGAGCTTCTTATAAGCCTTGCTATCAACACACATCTCCTCTGGTCGAGGACCCGACAAAGGAGCATGTGAACAGCTTGTGTGCGGGGCCGTTAGTTCTTCCTAAATATTGCACAACTAGGACGTTGTAGGGATGTCATAGGAGAAAATCACAGACCAGTGGCCACTGATGCACGCCGCAGACGTGCATCAGGCAGGTGTTGAAGAAGGCCTTGGTGGTCCCCGACTCTGCTTCAAGTTTTATAGCTGTCCACAAGTGTGATTTCAGCTTCTGCGTCCATCGCGCAATCTGTCCGCAGTCGCCGAACTTAGAGGCCTACAAAGAGACACCTGTGATTTCTTCCCACATAGTGCCTAAATGTTCCTCCTACCTTTCTGAGCTCATTACCTAGCCACTTCACAAGGTGCCATCCGTCATAGTAGTGACGGACGGCACCCAGCTCAGGCTCCATATCTCGGAGCGCAGCCCCCAGTGCCCGACTGCGGTCAGTCGTCACTGATGCCACGCTGAACCCGTTATCAATCACCCACTGCAATAGGCGCCTCATCCCCTCCACTTCCATGCGCGCACTAATGTTCTCTGAAACGGTTTTCAGTGAGGGTAACTCAGTATTAATCCACACTCGTCTCACCCGTCTCCGAACGGTGGAGCACCGCAGTGTGAAGAACCAGTTTGGTGCGCGTTTCCACCAGCACTACTTTTCCGATCAGCGCCGAATATCCTCGGCTGTCGTAGGCGCCATCGACTGCAAGGTGAAGTCCCTCGCCTTCCTGCGTTGGTCATAGGATTTTTAATTGTAGAGGTGTTCCAACAACTATTGTACCTGATACTCCTTCTTCACTAAGTTGAGTACCTCCTCCTGCTCTGAGCGGTAAACCTTTTCAATTGCTGGCTTGGTCCATTCAAATATTTTGTGGAAAAAGGTCTTGGCGAATATCGCCAAATTGCTTTGCTTAGCCCATCGCTCCAGTACCTGAATTCCTAGAAACATGTTCATCCGTGATCCATGAAATGCGGGTTAATACTGACCCTAAATCGCAATCCTGTAGTTACCGCTGATGCGGCTGCGACTACGTTTCCTTTGTGAATTCTCTCCCTCGAGTGGTTGACGACTCTCTCTTGGCTTTCCCACTTTTTCACTGACGGCCAACGGGTGCTGCAGATGCTGCACGCAAATCGGACCACAGCTGCAGTGCCGACTGGTTTCAAATGCGCCCCCTTCAGTGGTTGTCCACACCTGGGGCTCAAGCGGAATAAATCCATCAGCATTCTCCCATGCACAAGGTAGTATTTATCCAGATCTTCTTCATTCGTTTCCTGAACTTGCTCCGCTACGCTATCATCCGACTCACTGCCATCAGGGTGGTACTCGGAGCCCTAGAACTCAGCATTAACAATGTAGATGGACATTGTGTGTACGGGACCTCTCTGCTTACCGTTGATGCAGCATCATCACTGTCTTGACATTCATCGTTAATGCTAACATCTCCTTCTGAACTTGCTTCGGCTTTGACGACAGGGTCAGAAGAGGCTGAAGGGGGCTCCAAATCCTCCTGCATCTCCTTAACTTAGGTTTTATTTATTGCATGAAGTTTATGAAGCTTCTGACCATTTACAGACCTCTCCTTCATATTGCGCAGGCCACAAAGGGGTCCCATAATAGTTCGTCAACCCTTTGTTTACGTACATCGACACATCTCGAGATGATACGATGATACTTTGCATTTTGCAACTGAAATCAAGACATGAGAATCTGCTGCCATGGTTTTGCTCTCTAAAATGAGAACCCCAACAACACAGGACGTGACAGTCTAAAAACTAGATCTGGATGTTGGTGGGCCAACAAGAGGTTCTCAATTCAGCACCTTGGATGTTCGCAGACTCTTTGATGCCCTTCTCTTCGGCGATCACTGTGCAAAATGGTCATTGTCTTGTGTTGTTGTGATGCATGAACAATTTCATTGCGAACCTTTTTTTATTCCTTGAACTCTACTGTACAAACACAAAGAGTACACAGACAATTCACACTACTAGAAAGGAAATGTTCACAAGCAGTGATGGGCAACATGAAACAGGAACGGTTTACCACAAGACATTCCTCTACTTTCCTGTGGTGGACCCACAAAGAGATAGAAAATCAACTATCAAAAACAATAGTGCCAGTGCTACAATATTGATTTCAAAGTAGTTCGTCGCGCAGACGACTGAGCGAAATAGTTCGTGGAGCATGTTTGCAAGTCCGCTAGCTGTTGAGGCGTTCGACCATTCCTCATAGCGGCGTTTGTGCTCGACCATTTCCATAAACGGAGCCGCCTAAAGTGAAAGGGCCTCCATGAAAAGCAGTGTGGAAAATGTTATGTTGTTTACTTCGATTGGTGATGTCAAGAGTTTGCTGAAAATGGAAATTCTGGTGAGATTCACATACTTGAGCTCATCATTCGCTATCGTTAACACTTCGCGGAAAGTTGCCTTTTCATAGAGAAACTCCCGATGTTTGCGGGGTGCCTCATGGGCCGGATCGTATTCAAGCATATCAATGAGATCTTTCAGGTACTTGTCACTGAGCAGCGTCTGAATGAAACAAAGCTGAACAAAAATGCAATAGAACCGCACTATACCTAAGACATAACAGAAGGGCAAAAATACTAATTGCCCACCTGCAAAGAGAAAAGTGAATACTGGAGCTCGGAGGGAGGAAGGGGGGGGGGGGGGCTTTTCCTAGTACTGAGCCTGACGGCACGAGTCACTGAGAGTTGCCGACTAACTAACCGCAGTAATCCCACATTCCACAATAGGTCGCACTCAGGCTGTGCTCATGCTTCGCGGTTAATCGTCAAGAAAGGTAAGGTTCTGAGGTTCAAGTATAATGAATCGATTTGAGAAAAACTGCTCGCTACCTGCGCTTCAATTTTAGCTCAATACGCGATTTACTCGGACGAGAATCCGCCTTATTCTAGGCAAACGCTTGTACGATATCGATACTCTCTGTTTCTCTTGAAACTTCTCCCAGGGCGCTGAACCGCGAAGTATGAACGTTTGCATGAGCACGTCGTTTACCTCGAAGCATGTAGAAAAATAAAGCGAATAGCAACCAAGCCATCGAATAACAAGATGCAGAAGCAGTTTTTCCATAAGCGTTCAGACACTGGACAACGAACAAAAATAAAAAAGGCGAAAATTCAACGAAAAGTAAAGAAACCGTAAAGGAACACATTACCCTCGTGTAAGACATATTTCTACTAACATGAATAATTTCTTCGCAATCGAAAATACAGCGTACGCAATCCATCCTTATGTTCAACATCTTCACACATGTGAAAAACATCGACTAACTTCGGCAACACACTAAAAATTTATTCATTTAAGCGGAAATGGAAAACTCTTGGGTATGACGCGCTAATTCATTGACTCCTCATTGCCTGCCCCACCCTACCAGTAAGTATTTTTGATGCTTGTAGCTTGGGCGATAATGTACACGAAGCATTTCAAAACAGTTCAAACAGACAAAAGGTTCTTGTACAGAAGTGTGACCCGCATGTCTACATATAGGCTGAAGTGCACTGAAATGTCTCTGAACGGGTTGAGCAATAGTGCCACAGAACCGCCTTTGATATACATACCTTACGCACAGGTGAAAACAATCCGTTACCTGCTAGGGAGTGTCATGTCAAACCCGTGACTGACGTTCTAACTCGCCCGTGACTGACGTGGGCCAGTCAATGGCGAGTTAGAACGAGGTACAAATATATAAAAAAATTCTAAAGCCAAAGAGACATTATCCTAGAGCTACCTTTCCGACTCCACTGCTCAAAATCACACGACCAGCAGCACCAGTGGTTGAAAGTGCATTGGTTGAGTCCTCGCTCAGCTCTCCATCATCCATCTCGTCATATCCGCCATCCTGAATATCTTGATATCTACTAAGAACAGTTTCGAAAGAAATTAATGCGATAATCCCCACTCGAAGTCATATTGTCGTCAACAAGAAAGCGAAATGACAACAAACCCCACTTGACAACAAATCTCCCTACCATTGGAAAAGCAAGCACTACATTCCATAAGCAAAAAAAAACTCTAATGGTTCCGCACTTTCACACATGTTTACAAGCCTGACCGAAGTAAGACCTTTAGCTGAGCTATGAGCCAACTTTGGCAAAATGCCAGTGGGACCGCGGGCTTAAAGGGACGCGCGGGCTTTAAAGGGACGGATGCAGTTCGGG